AGAGGGTGATATTGTGAGACGCAAGAAGGAATGATGTCAGGCGCCTCCATGTCCAAATCTTAGCTATAACCGCTACTGGCTCTTTACATGTGCCAGAATTTCAGAGTTTTTCTGTATTCCTGATTCATACTCTGTCCTGACCTGTGGAGTGGTGAGTTAAGGAGAGAATGTGCCTCGGTCTTCAACCCCAGGGCTTGGGCAGAAGGAGAGCGTTTACCCTGGTCTTCAACCCCAGGGCTTGGGCAGAAGGAGAGCGTTTACCCTGGTCTTCAACCCCAGGGCTTGGGCAGAAGGAGAGCGTTTACCCTGGTCTTCAACTCCAGGGCTTGGGCAGGAGCCCATTCAAAAATCATCTGTCAGCCCCTTTGGGGTGGAGAGCTGCTGAGGGTTTCTTTGAACTCTTAAGTCCCTTTACTCCTGTCTGTACCTTTGGAGCATCACTCCTGCAGACAAAGACATAGAGCTCATTCAAAGTAAGTGAATACTTGAAACACAGACAACCCTAGGAGGAGGCCTACTGGCCTGAACAGGTGACTAGAGAAACCGTTGACTGAAATGGATATGCTTTAATTTTTCATGCTCACAGGAGTGTGAGGAGTTCATCCTTCATTGTCTCAGAGGCCCGTTGCCTTCCCAGGGTTGGCCTCTGACTCTCTGAGGCTTCACAGGAACCCTCTAGACCAGAGTGGGAAGTGAGTGGCTGCAGAAGTCCATCAGCGATCTCACAAATGCTTTAACTCCTGAGACACAGGAACAAAACAAGCGGACGAAGCCGAAACAGCTACTGATGTTTTTAAAAGAAGAAAGGGGTCCTAACTCGCATACAGCACCTGCTTCACAGAGACAGAGTAGGAGAGGGGCTCCGGGGTCCGGAGAGAGACAGGTAGCTAGCTACTGTGTGAATTCCCTTCAAATGTTAAGACAGTACAGCTCCCTCCAGAGCTGCACGTGGAATCCAGGCTGCAGCTTCTGTTAATTTTAGACCAGAAGAACCGGAGGCGGGTTGGTGCGGTTCTGGTTTCACGGCTCTTGAGAGCAAAGCTCTTCCCTGCCTCAAGGTGACTCTTCACTCTTTCCAGCCCCACCTTTCACACTTCCTTCTCTTTTTGTTCCTTCTTTTCTTATTTCTTTCTCTCACTTCCCTCTCACCAAAAGGTCCCCTCTCTTTCCACATTATTGGGGGTCCTCTGAGGCCTCAGGGACTCCACCCTGCAATGTCCTCTGAAACTCTGCCCACTGGCAGGTCAGCTTCTGAGCTAGCTCTCCAAGCCTTTAGAGTCAACAGTCTGGACTTGTTTCTGAACACCACAGACTGAGTGTTTATATAAAGTAGAGGTTTATTTAGCTCACAGTTCTCAAGCCCAGAAAGTCCAAGAAGGTGGAACTGGGTCTGCTCTGCTGCTTTTTATGCTACATCGTAACACAGCGAAGGGCATCCCAAGGGCAGACAGAGCAAACATGGTGGCTAAGGTCTTTTTCTTTCACAAAGACACCAAAGTGCCACCATGCTGTCTCTGCCCTCATGACCTCATCTAACCCCAATTACCTTCCACTGCCCTCACATCCAAATGCCGTTAACATATGTGATTGGGGCTTACATTTCTATACCAGTGCCTTTGAGGACGACATGGTCAAACTGTAGCCATCGTACATCTTCTCGGCCAAAAGGTTTAGCTGTTCCCAGAGTGAGGCTGGACACATTGCACAGGGAGCTCCTCAGATCCCACCAGACCCGCAAGACACTGTTTGCTCTTCACTGAGGAGCCTGTGAGTCAGGATCAAACACGAGGCCGCGTGATTAACTAGCAGGTATTCAGGACCAGCAGTGTGCGTAAAGCCCTTGGGGTCTGCTCATTTGTCTTCTGAAAATCTACTTTCCACCTATCCGTGTTTGCTTGTCCCTCTTCTTCTCTTTGGGGTGATGTCTCTAGTCTCACACGTCAGTTTTAACTGAAAGGATTTGTGGGGCACAAATGCTGAGAAAGAAGCTCATGAGGTGAAGTTGCCTTGTTCCCAGCATCCCAGCAAGCCCATGTGGTTCTGGTGCTCTGAGGGTGATGGGGAAGCTGTTTCCTTTGGTTTGCCAAGTTGACTCAGCTTACAGCCATTGTTGGTGAGCGCTTGGTTCACGAGCTTGCTGGCTTGAAGAAGCAATGTTTTGAATAAACCTGCTCTCAGAAGAACCCTGGAGTGTCTGTCACAAGGGATACATGGTCATGAGCCCAGGAAGAAATGAAGACTCAGCTGGGGTCTTCTGAGAAAGAACTCATGGCTTCCCACAGCCCTGGGTCAGATGTGGAAGAACCTTGGAGACCGGAAGACAGGCAGGTGTTTCCGGGCTAATTGAATGTGCAATTTTGAATCATTCCTCTCTGTTCTGCTTTTTCCTTTGTGTAAAAGATGAAGGCATAGAAAAAAATCTTAAGGTGAATTTTTATGGTATTTGAGGTTTAAAGAAGTAATATATTTAGAGTATCCTGGGATAAGCTGGAATTTTCTGGAAAGTCTGTTGTTACACTGGCTTCTGATGGTTTTGGTACCTCCGTTTGTACAATGACTCACTTTGTTGTTTTTGGAGTTAGGGTGTTATTACATTTCCCTGACTGGCCTTGAACTCACAGCAGTCCTCCTGCCTCAGTCTCTAAAGTGCTAGTATTACAGGCATGGACTATTGTACACAGCTCTGTTTGACCACCTTGGCTATCAACCTTTACTCAGAACTAGTCTGGAAGACATTCAGTATCTGTTTGAATGATCCCTTGGCTGTTACAATATCGAATGTGACGTGGTTGCCTCTGTCACTATTGCCACATCAACAACTGAGTACCCGGTTCAGCTCAGTTGTCATCCGTGGTTGGATATGACACTATGTCCCCACCACCCAGGTCTCCCGAGTCCCAAATCTATGTCATACTTTTCTCCTGGGACAAAAACAACACATGGGTCTACTTTTAATAGCTCTTAGAGCAAAACTATTTAGTGTCGGGAGCCCCGAGGGAGAGCCATTCTGATAATGTCTGAGTTCCTGTCCCACTCCTGGGGGCTGCTTCACCTGCTAAGGGGACACGGTTCCAATTCTTGTTATATAACAGCTGCTGAGTTTCTTAGGAAAATCACCATCCTTTCTACGCCTCGGCTCGGGAAGAGCACTGGGAACGGTCTGCTGGATATTTTGGGCCGGATCTATACCAGGGGAAATAATCAGAGGCATTTGAATGAGCGTTTTTAAAGACCGCTAGGCACTGTGGTGTGTCCGTGCGTCATCAGAGGCGTTACTTGCTTCTCGGAAGCGGCCCCCTATGGCTCCCATCCTACCAGCACATCTCAACCTTGTCAGCCGGGCTAAACCGGTAACTAAAGGAGCCACTGGACGTATCAGGTAAATTCAGAAGGAGTCAATCGCTTCTATGGTTAGGTCTACGTGCCCCAAAGACAGGGGAGAGGATAGATAGGAACGGAAAACTCTGGGGCCACCACTGCAAGGCGCAGTGGCTGGAGAGGGCAGTCTTTGTGCAAGTCACATTTCCTTGCTGTGACAAAACACCTGAGCAAGTTCACTTCAAAGAATGAAAGGTTTATATTGGCTAAGTTTTAGTGAACTCAGCCCACGGTGCTCGGCTCCATCGTTTCTGGGTTTTGGTGAGGCGGAAGGTTATGGTGGGAACCAAGTGGTAGAGCTTCATCTCATAGTGGAGGGGAGTGAGGTGGGAAGCGGGGAGGAGCGGGGAGTCAGTCCCAGGATAAGGGTGTCTACCAGTGGTTTACCTCTTCAGTTAGGTCTCAGCTCCTAATATCCCATCCACCTGTGAACTCACAGCAAATGAGTCCACTGACGAGGTTACTGTCTCATGATCCAGCAGTATCACCAACCAGGGACCAAGACTTGAAAGCAGGAGCCCCAGGCTGCAGAGAGAGCTCAGTTGTTAAGAAGGTATGCTCTTCTCGGAGGGCCAGAGTTTAGTCCTCAGCACCTGTGACTCCAGCCCAGGGAGACCCACCACCCTCATCTGGCTTCTGCAGGCACCTATACTCACAAGCGATACCCATACACACAAATAATAGAATAATTTTAAAAATATAAGCCATTTGAGGGGAACACTTTAAATCCACATTTTAGCAATTATTGACCCTACATTTCAAAAGGCTAGAAGGGTTTTAGGAGTTTTCATCACAAAGAAAAGATAAATGTGAGTGTGTGTGCATATATACGCACACACATATATATGCAGTTGGGCTTAAACATTATGTAATGTTTATGTGTATTGAACATGACTTGGAACTCCACTAATATGAAATTTTCATGATTTTGTGAATTGATGTAAAAAAGGATCAATTTTTATAAATTATGGAACCAACCTAGGCGTCCAACAAAAGGGGAGTTGGTAAAGAAAATGTGGTATGCATCATATATACACTACAGAATTTCTTTTCAGCCATGAAGAACAAAGTTTGGCAATTATGAAAAAAACCAGATGCAATTGGAGCTAATTTATTATGTGAATTAACCCAGAATCAGAAGATAAGTGCTGTATTTTTTCTTGTTTATGGTCCCTAGTTTTTCTATAGTTATATAAAGTCAAGTGTGTCTATACGACACAGAAGTGCAACCAGGGACGACTGTGTGGTTGCTCAGAAATGAACCCAGGCCCTCTGCAGGAACGACAGCTGCTTTAACCACTGAGCCACCTCTCTAGCCCCAGAAAGCAGATTCTGTTGTTCTCAGCTATTCTCTGCTGTGTTATCAGAGAGCCGCAGTTAAAGGGTAATGGCGGTGCCAATGCCAGCTGGCCTTTACAAAATGGTCTTGCGAACATGTTGGAATAAGAAGAAAATGGGAATCTTGGGCTAATTATAAATCTGTTCTATCTACTTCGGTGATTTTGAAAACGCCACCTTGCTGCTCTTGTCCTCGGTTTCCCTATTTGATTAGTTTGGCAAGGTAAGTTCATTTTTTAAACATCTGAGATCTGACCAGTTTACATGTTTAATCCTATTTTTAGCAAGCAGAGGATGTTGGCTGCTTCTCCACATCAGACCCACCAGGGAAACAATCATTTTACTGCTCCACATAATTCACACCCAGGTGGGTATTTCCTAGAGCCCTCTAACATAGTGGGCTGTAAATGAACATTTATGTCCCTCTCTCCAAATTCATATCCTGAAATCCCAATCCTGACATAGTGGATTAAGAGATAGGGACTTGAGGAAGTGTCTGGTTCATGGGTGTATAGGAGGGTGAATTCTTGACCCACGCTGGAAAAGTGTGAACTCCAGAAGCTTCCCACACTCAGGTCCAGATTAAATACTTCTAGGTTGATGCTACTGATGAACCCAGACGGAAAAGATTCTGTTTGTAGCCAGGATCCCCCCTTTCTCTCTCCTCTTTGTCCATCTATCCACTCACCTACTCAAATGTTCATTTATGTACCCATATAGCAATCCATCTGTTCACCTGCCAATCCATCCATCCATCCATCCATCCATCCATCCATCCATCCATCCACTCATCCATCCATCTACTCATCCACTAATCCATCCATCTATCCACTCATCCATCCATCCATCCATCCACTCATCCACTAATCCATCCATCCATCCACTCATCCATCCATCCATCCACTCATCCATCCATCCATCCACTCATCCATCCATCCATCCACTCATCCATCCATCCATCCACTCATCCATCCATCCATCCACTAATCCATCCATCCATCCACTCATCCATCCATCCATCCACTCATCCATCCATCCATCCACTCATCCACTCATCCATCCGTCCATCCATCCACTCATCCATCCACTCATCCATCCATCCATCCACTCATCCACTCATCCATCCATCCATCCACTCATCCATCCATCTACTCATCCACTAATCCATCCATCTATCCACTCATCCATCCATCCACTCATCCACTAATCCATCCATCCATCCACTCATCCATCCATCCACTCATCCACTCATCCATCCACCCACCCACACACCCATCCACTCATCCATCCACCCACCCATCCACTCATCCATCCATCCATCCATACATACATACATACATCTGTCTAGCAATCCAGTCAAGTACATATGTACCCACTCACTTACCATTCATTCATTCACCCATACCAATTGCCCATTCATCTGTCCACCTGTCTAGATAGTCATTCATCCACCAATCCATTCCATCCTTCTGCCAAACCCACATGTCTATCTACTTACCCATCCATCTACTCAGCCATTCATCTGCACAGTCATCCATCTATCCATGCATGCAACCATGTTTATTTTTCTCAAAAAAAACCCCACATATAACTTTTTATTTCTGGGGACAGTGGCAAGCCCTGTGTAGAAACAAAGGCATACTGAAGAAGAGCACTTGTCATGAAGGAAAGAGAAACACAATATGCCAGGGAAGAAAAGCCGGAGCGATTGGAAATGAGGAGTGAAAGATGATCGGGGGTCCTCTCAAACTCTCCTCTTTACCCCACTCATTTTCCTGTACACCTGGGGACCAGGTCTCTCTGCGTGACGTGTATGCCCGAGCTGAAATTAATTGTGTAGGCATGCTTACACAGCTGGGGAAGAGAACCCCGTGTAGCCGCTCCACCAAGGCTCCCAGAATGAATGGTATTATTCTTACACAAGCAGGCTTCCTTCCCACCCAGGGAGCATCACTGTGGTAAAGGCCCCTCATTTTCAGGGCATAGTCATACCAGGATAATGAAAATGGGGTGTGCCTTCTTTTGGACGTAGATGACAGCATGGTTTCTATTCAGAGTCATTGTTATTAATTTTATAAGCTCACAATGAACGGGATAGTAGGCGCTGTGCCGCTTTACTCTGACTCTGTCCCTTTCAGGTGACTGTGCTGAACTAGAGTTTGTAAGAGGACAGTGATCAGCACAGCTTGGGGACATTATCAGAGCAGCATGGCAACGATTACAGATGTTCCGCCTGGGAAAGAACTTCCACTCATCCTAAGAGCTGAAATACAAAGACGAGATGAATACAGATACAGATGAATCTCAAATGTATCCTGTGACGTTATAGGTCACATACCGCACACTTTCATCTATATGAATTGTCTGGATTAGGAAAATCCAAAGAGACAGAAATGAGGGCTGGCCTTGAGCTACTGCGTGTTCTCACCACCCACTCACTTTTTAGCCACACCGCCTATTCCTCTGTTTCCCACCTATTGCGATAACCATCCACATACCCACCCACCCATCCATTTACGCCCGCCCACCCACATGCCTCTCCACTCACCCATCCATCTAGTTAACCTCTCACGAGCATCCACCTAGCCGTCCCTAGTTATATGTTCTCCAACTGTATTTATTAATGCCCATTTTATTCGTAGGAAGCACGCAGAGAAATGAAGAATTGTTGATGGTAACTTTCTCTTTAGGGTGATGAAAATATTCTAAAATGGGTTAAGATAATGGTTGTACAGCTCTGAAGGAAAAGCACATCGAATTTATTTACATGGTAAATTGTATGGTACGGAAATATTTCAATAAGGCACTAATAAAAATAACTTGCTTATTTTTAACTTTTAAAAACAGAAACATTTAGTCAGAATGAAAAGCTAGCAAAGTGCTTGGCCCCCGGGAGGTTCTGGATAGCTCATGAGACTCCTTTATTGTTCTCCACGCTTTGTCCAGTGCTGGGAATCTGTTTCTAAAGCCACAGAAAGAGTTCTTACCATCCTGGAGATGCCAGAAAACCCTGGCTAACCATCAGGAGGGAACCATAGGACAGTCTCAATCGGGGTGGTGGGTCTTAGTTTGGATTTTCTTCAAAGTAGATCCAGAGGCACGAAGTTGAGACAGGCCACCGATTTGGAAGTCAACCCCAGCAGCCAACAGTAGGGAGCAGGTGCACTGTCAAAGTCACCACCACGAGACAGTCGCTTGACTCTCCAGGTCCTCTGAAAGGCACCTAGAGTGCCCTCCCATGTGGTCAGTTGGAAGAGTGGGAGGCTGGGCCACGGCTGTGGTATGGATTTGGTCTCCTTTATCAGAACTCTTGTTGAAACTTGTGGCTGATGCAATGACTCTGAAACATGGTGGGACTTTAATAGGTGGGGCTCACGGGATGTGATTGGTTAGTGACTGTTGGCAGGAAGGGATTAGCTGATCTCGGGGAGTGCTAGAGCAAGCTGATGAAACAGTGAGCCCCATGGTCACTCCCTTTCCCTTCCGTCTTGCCATGTGATCTCTCCCACAAGCACCTGCTTGTCTCTTCCACAGGTGCTCTGTGTGATGCTTTGGACGTGCGGCTCCCAGGAGAGCTGAGCAGAGAGTAGCACCCGTTTCTCCAACTTCCAGAACTATGAACTAAACAGACACTCTTTCCTTAGAAGGCACCCAGCTCAGACGCTCTTTCAGAGTAGCACAGCTCCTTGTCCACCAATTGCTCTCCCGTTGGTGGGGAACGCCCCGTTGGTAGTTAGCTCCCTAATGTTTCCAGGCTACACCCATATGTGAGCTACAAGGATGCCCCACAGCCCAGGCTGAAGCTCGAAGCCGTGAAGAAGACGGTGTGAGTGAAGGGATCTTGGGATCATAAAGAATGTTCTACTGCTGTGTTATGGGTACCAGGGGCAATCTTGTGTATTATGGGCACTGGGAGCAATTTTGGCTCAAATGAACAACTTAATGACTGTGAATAATGCTTTACAATGAGGTAATGTACAGCAGAAACTTTTCCAAGGCTTTACATTTGAAAAGTTATGTTGCTTGCTAAATTATCTCTGTGCACATGTAAACACTGGGTGGCAAACTAAGATGTGTGCATTCCCATGACCCAGAGTGAAGAATGTTGCTTGGCTGGATCAATCTCTTTACTCTTTCAGACAAGGAGGTACATTTCAAGATGTTTTCAGGCAGCAATGAGTAAAGCGAAGAGCTGTGTGTTCCAACGGACAGAAAACATGAGTCAAAGGTGAGCTGGACTCTGGTCTTGTCTCTGTTTCTTAGTGTGATCTGGGACTATGTGCCTTTAAGAGCCCAGCAGTGGGTCAAGGTCTCAGTGGAAATAGAATCAATGTGATGGATAGAAAGGTAAGTGTAGGTAGGTAAAAGGTAGACAGACAGACAAAGGTAAGATAGACAGATATCCTCTTGTATTATGAGTTCCATGTATATGGATTCAACTAAATATGGATCAAAAATATTAAAATCAAATGCCTGTAGTGAATATATGCCCTTGCAGTGGTTCCTCCCAAATATTGGATATTTGGATAGCATTGATATGACATTTGATATTATACAGGATAATGTACTTAGGCTGAATGGAAATCTTTTCTGTATGCATGAACATGTGTATGGATGTGCTTTTGAGACAAGGTCTCATGTATTCTAGGCTGATCTAGAACTCATGGCAATTCCCCTGCCTCAGACCCCTACGTGACCTGGTCATATAAGTTTATATAAGAAATTTAGGTTTCTTCAGATTCTGACATCTTAGTGTGGATCTTGGAGTAATAGACAATAAAGGGTGATTGAATATGTTCAATATATATTCACACCTAAGCATGTAAATAGGTAGATAAATAGAAAGATAGATGGTGCGTAGATGTATGGATGCATAGACAGGCAGACAGACAAATAATCAGATAGGATCACAGATGACAGATAAGATCATAGGTAAGTAGGTAGGTAGGTATGTAGATAAATGGATGGATAGATAGATAGATAGATAGATAGATAGATAGATTAATTTGAAGGAATTGCTGAAAGATGACTCACTGGGCTCCTGCCTCCAAGCTGGACAACCTGAACTCCATCTCAGGAACCCATGTCGTGTGAAGAGAAAACTGACTCCCCAGCTTGGCTTCTCATCTAAACCCGTGTTCCATGGCTTGGGCACGCACATGGGTGAGTACATACATACACGCATACACGAACAAAGAAAGTGTAAACAAAAGATTTTATGAAATCTTGTGTTGCCAAGCCTGAAATCTGCGGGATGGAACACTGTTCAGGAACACTCTTGATGCAGGATTTTTTTTCATTCCAAGGAAATCTCAGTTTTTCTCCCAAGACTTTTTCCAACAGACTTGATGAAGGACCACCCACATAGCCGAGAATAATCTTTACAAGTCAACGGATTGTGGGAGTTAACCATATCTATGAAATACCTTCACAGCAACCCTGAGATGGTGCAGACTACAGCCCAGACTCCAGAGAGAGAGAGACCTCCAACTTGCGGTGGGGTGTGGCCCAGGAGCAGTGTGGTGGGGTGTGGCCCAGGAGCAGTGTGGTGGGGTGTGGCCCAGGAGCAGTGCATGGTCTTCTCAAACCCACAGTTCCTTCACAGGCTGCAGTCTGGATTGCAGCTTGAGCCCTGTGCGCTGTTCCTGGAATTCTGGGGAGCTCTAGCTAAGCTCTGAGAACCTAGGCTGACAGAAACCATGTAATGTTGTTGTAAACTTGGGGGAACCCTCTCTCTGAATGAGACATCTCATTACTCTTGGGAGTCAAGAGTCACAAACTTCAAATGGGGAAAGAAATGCCTTGTTCTACAGAATCTCAACTCCACTCTGAATGGTTCTTACTCTCTTTCCAAGGGGCTGGTGATGGTTTCCTCGGACAGGCAAACCATAAAGAGAGCACATTCTCTACAAAGCACAGGCCTGCTGCTTTTTTCCTTTGGAAGGGTCTCTTGAGGGGGGGCAAGGGTAGCAGTTATGGAAACTCAATGCTCTCTCATCTTGAATGGGATTTCAGTCAACACAACCAAATGTGTGCGTGTCTGGGACTCTCCACCTCTGCAGGAGGATCAAAGCCTGGAGTGGGATGTGGTGTCATATTGGGAGCCTGCTTTCTCCAGGAAAGGGCAGAGAGGGCTCTGTGGCTATGAACACACTGAACGTCTTTCCCCAGCCCTCTCTGCTCCTCACTGCTGCCCTTCCAACCATCTAATTGTGGCGATGACAAAGCCCAGTGGAAGGCTTCTGTCTTTGCATGGGTGTTTCCTGCTCCAGCGGAGCTCAAGCAGAGTTTGAGCTAGTAAAGGCCCCATCTCTCTTCTGTGGCCTCTGGAGGGCTCTGTGTAGTTCTTGTGATTTCTACACCGGAGATGTGCTGGTCATTTTACCAGAGAAAACATCGCATGACTTAAAACAAAAAGAAAATTATTGCTGAGGCCAAAGGAGGCGACTTAAGACGATAGGCTTAGGTGTGATGTAATGTGATACCATGCTAAATGCAAGCATACAAACCGTGTGTGTCAACCTTTAATTATCAGAGAAAGGCTCTGTTTTCTTTGTTTTACAATATGGTCACAAACTTGCTAGGTACCTGAGGAAGACTTTGAACTCTTTCCTGATTCTCCTGCCTCATCTACTATGTCTTTCTTTGTAATTAATGTTGTGGTTAACATGCAAAGAAATGGATTTCATGGTGATGGTTCATACACATACACTTATCCTTGGTTCTTATTTGTCCTCCTAGTGGCCCCTTTCCCTGGAAATGCTCTCCGTCTTGGCCTTCACGTCACGTATATTCCACCCACCTCTGAGAGACCGACAGAACCATTTATTTGTAAGTAAACAGAGAACTGACTAACCAATACACAGCTGGTTCACTGGGGCAGGGCAAAGAAACTCCTTCAAAGGAAAAGTGATGGGGAGTCTGTTTCTTGTCATTCTTGGCCACAAGGATCAAAGGCAACAGGGATCCAGCATCAGAAGCAAAGGTGACTCTAGTCTAAAGTGAGTGGTTTTGAGTCAGATGTCCCTACTGTGTTGGTGGGCAAGCCTGTGGTCATGGCAGAGTCTCCTATGATGGTTCTTGCTACTGAACATGAGTGATTGAACTTCCTTCCTTTTCTGGCTTCCAACTTTATTTTCTTTTTCTATTTTCATGTGTGTGGGTATGGAACGTATTTGTGTATACTCACGTGTGTGCTCATGTGTGTGTATGGGACAGAGGTTGATAGGCAGAGTAGGGGAGATTCATCTTCAATCACTCCTCCACCTTTATTCGTTGATGCAAGGTTTCTCAATCAAGCCCAGAGCCTGCAAGCGTGTCTCTTCTCCCTAGCCAGCTTGCTCTGGGGAAGGAGGCTGAATTATAGGGGGCCACGCACCCAGCCGGCATCTGCTTGGTTCTGGGTGTCTGAATTCCAGCTCCCATCCTTACATGGCAGGCTCTTTCACCACCCAGCCATCTCCCCATCCCTGTTTTACTTTTTGTTTGTACCTGATGCAAGCAACTCCATTTGGATTCTGAAAATTTCCACTAACAAAGTCTTCTGTTTTTTTCTAGCACTTTTATTGTCAGTTCCTTCCGTGAGTGTCAGAATCAAATGTTCCTGCTCACACTCAGTATTGACAAAGGGAAGGAGAATGTAACACAAGCAAGCCACATCTGGGAAGAAGTTAGGATGGGCCCAGGAACATTTTCTAACATGAAAACACCAGAAGAGAGATGCTCGAAGAGGAGAGAGATTCTTGTCCAAAACCAGATCAACTGTAGGCTCATCTTTTCCCAGAAAGTGAATAGAGAATCAGCCTGCCCCAGGAGCCCTGCCAAGGAGTCCAACCCCTGGCAGCCTGGCTTTTCATCAAATGGATGGTAATTTCCCAAGGTGCTAGTTTCACGCTCTCAGGGCAAAATGTCAAGCCCAGAATGCAACCCGCAGTTTAGACAGGAGAAGTCCTGTTTCTCTCATAGACGTCTCCAGCTACCTCCGGTTCCTCATTTTTCCTCTGTATATGTAATTAAGCAAAATTAAAAGGTACAGCATAGCCTCAGAGGGAAAATAAACACCCACTGAAATTACAAGAGCCTGGTATGAGGCTGACTTTTCGTTGTGCTTTTGTTTGTGGGAAATAGCGGTTCATCGCATTGAGGCCAAGTTTGTTCTGAGAGGTCATTTGGGTGTTTCTGCCCAACTAAAAGGTACAGTGGCCAATTGACATTCTCTTCCAGAGCTGGCTTTGCTTTTACTGATGAGACAAGGACAAGTAAGTTGAAGCCACAGACTAGGAGGAAGACCCAAGGGAACTTGGGGCACGAAGATGCTTCCCCTTGTTAGAGCTGGTGGCAGCAGGTGTGGTTAAAAGGCTCAGCCTGGCCTCCAGGGAGGCCATGAGCAGTGGCAGTACTGAGGGGCAGCCACGCTTTAAGCTTATACAAGATGTGTTGTGAGTCTTTCCCTCTGCATTCTTCCTCTAGGACATGGTGATGGTTGGTCTGGATTATCAATTGGACAGAATATAGAATCCTTTGGGAGATGGATATCTGGGTCTATCTGTGGGGAAGATCTTGGCTGCATTAACTGAGGGTGAAAGTCCCGCCCACTGTGGGTGGAGCCATCCCCTAGCTGGGCTCCTGTCCCGTGGGAATGGAGAAAGGGGGTGAGCAATAACTCCTTCTCCCTTTTCTGACTGTGGATACATTGTGACCTGCTGTAGAATCATCCTTCTGAAGACTGTAATTATGTATTACTCTCATTGGTTAATAAAGTAGATGATTGACTATAGCAAGGCAGGATAAATCTAGGTGGGACAATCAAACTGAGGTGATGTGGGATTCTCCTCTGGATGCTGTGAATATGTTTTATTACCATTGGTTAATAAAGAAGCTGTTTTGGTCTATGGCAGGGCAGAATAAAGCTAGGTGGGAAAACTAAACTGAATGCAGGGAGAAAGAAGGTAGAGCAGGGAGATGCCATGTAACTGCCGAAGGAGAAAGATGCCAGAACCTTCTTTACCAGTAGGCCACAGCCTCGTAGTGATACACAGGTTACTAGAAATGGGTTAATTTAAAATGTAAGAGCTAATTGGAATACACCTAAGCTATTGGCCAAGCAGTATTGTAATTAATATAGTTTCTATGTGATTACTTGAGTCAGAGTGGCTGGGAAACATAAGAACACTCACCCTCTGCTTATACCCAGGAGGCTGGGAAGGAGAGGGGCAGAGTTGGGAGATGCCAGTCAGCTGCCAAGCAAGCAGCATATGTGAAAATGAGGTAATCAAGCTATGAGCCTTGTGACAAAGCATCAATAGAAATATGAGTTAATATAAGTGTAAGAGTTAGCTAGTAACAAGCCTGAGCTATCAGCCAAGCATTCATAACTCATATTCAGCCTCTGAGTCCATTATTTGGGACTGGGTGGCTGGAACAGGAAACTCCACCTCCAGTGAGCAGTTATTTCAAGCTCCTCCTATCTTCCATGATGGGCTATACCCTTGAACCCAAATAAACCCGTTCTCTCTAGAGCTGTCTTTATCAGGACATCTTATCACAGCAGCAGAAGGAACCAAGACAGCTGTCTTCTCTCATTTACAGCAATTTCAAGCCCTGGGCTAGAAGAGTGTTCTTGCCTTCTATCTCTGGACCTAAAGATCCCAGTTTCTGAAGGAAGGCAGCAGAGAGCATTTGGCAGTTGCCTGAAGCTCTGTGCAGAGGTAGATCTGGGAGAGGACAGAGATACTAGAACACGGCTCACCAGGAGGGGTCCTGACAGAGATGGGGTTGTGTCATCTCTTACCTGGGTAAGCTAAAGAATCTCATCCTGTTTAAAGGCCTGCAGTCTGGGCAGCTCAATCCAGTTTGCTGCAGTGGGTTATGTTTTATTATCAACATGAATCCATTTACGACTGTAGAAATGACCTATAGTCATTTAGACAGGAGCCTCCTGTCACTGCTAATATGTGTCTTCCATCTCCCAGGGCCTTGCACACAGCATCACCTATCTCTACCCTACCCTACATTCACCCTGTAGGTCTTATGTGTTCTTCACCCCATGACGAGGCAGTGACACCCCCGGGAGCTCAAACAGGTGACAGGGACGCAACTGCTACGTCGCAGAGGGGGACACCATCCAGACGCCATCCTCAGCTTTCTTAGCTTAGCGCTTTATGTTTAGTTCCTTGACGTCACTGACTTAATGTTTTTCTGGAGGGTGTAAAAATCTCTATCCAGATTAATTTCTCTTCACGAGGAAGCCCGGCCGTTGCAGTCGTTCCCTGAAATGTCTCCACTCCTTTGTCAGGAATCAGTTGGCTACATTTACAGGAATTTACTTCTGGGCCCCTGTCCTGTTCTGTGCATCTTCTTGTCTGTCTTTTCACCAGTTCCACGCTGCCTGGATTATTGCAGCCTTAGAGGAAGTCCTGAAGTTTGCTGGCGTCTGTATTCCAACTTTCTCTTTGTCCTTCTGTCTTAGGGTGGATACGAGGCATCTTTTGTCTCCCTTTAGATACAGTTTATCAATATCCCCAGAACAGCCTGCTAGGAGGGACAATTGATTTGTGACGGAGACGCACAGATAACTCAGAGGAGAAATGAGAACAAATTGATGCCGCAGCAACCGGACACCAATAAACCAAAAAGGAAAGAAAAAGGACTTGAGCTAAACATAATACATATTAGCATATACAAAACCAACCCCGACTGGATCTGAGATTTAAGTGGAAAACATGAACTTGTAAAACTTTTTAGAAGATATAGAAAAAAAAAAACCTCATAACCTGGGGTAAGGTATAGCTCATAGACAGAAGGTCAAAAGTATGGTCTGTGGAAAATATGAATAAATCTGCCTTATCAGAATTAGCATATCAGATGGTACAGCTTTCTGGAATATAATTTGCCCCCCCCCCCTTTTTTAAGAATTAAACAATGTACCCTGTTAGTTGCTATTCGCACGTTTGGGCATGTCCGCCAAAGAAATGAAAATGCATGACCACACAGAACCCATGTTTTTCATTAACAGGTTTATTGGAAACAAAACCCTAATTTCGAAACCCTAAGACACTTTTGAATAGAGAGTGGCAAGCCGCATGATGGACCTCCCACTGAGGACCACTAGCTAGACCTGATGGAAGGCGCAGCCCAGGAATCTCAAAAGCCACATGGAAGAAGACAGCTCAGTGGCTAAGAGCACTTAGTTCTCTTGTAGAGGACCCAAGCTCACAGCACCGATTCAGGAGGCTCGCCACCACCTGGAGCTTCTCTGGCCTCAGCTGTCACCTGAGTGGCACTCATACACAGAGGCACGTATAAATATAAATAAGTCTCTCTCTTTATTTATTGAAAAAAAAAAGATCCAGAAAAAAAATGACCAAGGGCACATTTTCAATGAGCTCGTCAGCAATTTACACAACCTGATCAGGCAGAAGAGTCAGCTGTGTCTAGCTGGGACAGCCAGTACCCTGCAGGTGGGTTGTGGGTTTGGAGGCTTTGAGGGACCTCCATGAAGCCAGACCTGCAAACTCTAATTCTGTTTTTTTTTTTTAATCCCAGATAAGAGAAGAGATGTGAAACTACAACGAGTAAGGGAAGGACAGGGTTGCTTTTGGATAATTTCTGATTTTTAAGATTTTCTGTTTGGAGAATGACCTGGGCGGGGAGGCAAAAGTGGAAATACAGGCATTAGTTAGAAGGCCATGGCCGTAGACCCAGAGATAAGGATGGAGCAGGGACTAGCCTGAAAGATGCCAAGACAGAGGACAAAGGTGAGGCCTGAACATCTGCGTAATCCAAACCTCCTTTAGCACCCACCTGATCTATTAGAACGTGTTCTCCTGGACTCCTTCAGTGCAGAGACAGACACTGCAGAGACAACACTAGACAGCCGAGTGTATTTATCCACCACAGGACGGGGCTTTCTCCTCAGCCCACTTTAAATCCAAGACTGTTCATCATTCTGCAGCAGGGACTTCCTTCCAGGGAGGCCTGTCTGGCTGCCGAGAGAGAGAGATGGGGGAATTTGGCCACTGTTCAAAAGAACCGATGTGGGGGAGAATAAAAAAGAAAGAAGCAAGCTCCCCTCCAGAGATGAAGAGGGTTCCAGGGCCAGATAACCAGGACCCTAGCTGTGTCTGGCTCAGCACACAGTTGAGAAAATCTCCCTCTTGTTCCCCAAGTCCACAGATGGAGCATATGTTCTGCTTGAAATTTAATGTGAAAACTGTTTCCACGGTGGAAAATGATCCCCCATGCATGGGGAGAATGATGTTGGTTAACATGTTTTTCCGTTTGGTACCGAGAATGTTGCAATAGACGACAGGACCCTCAGGTGGAAACTTGACCGAGTTCGGGCCTTGTGAAGGGAGTGGTGGACAGTGGTAACTACCTCAGATCCACGTTAAGATGCTGTTTATTAACCTTAAACTCCCAGCGTCACTGACAGGGACAACCTTAAACACTGGGTACTGTTTAAGAATGTTTCCAGCTGCAAGCGTGGCAGAGATGGCTGGAGCTTGTCACCTCAGCTTGGCAACTGATAAGTTGGTCCCTCCAGTGGCTGCTGGCATCAGGGAGTCATCCCCAGTGGCTGGCTGGTTATCTAATGGCTGTCAGCATTCTGTTGTGTCTGCACACTATACAACCCCAAAGCTGAGTCCGAAGACCTAGTTTTGCTGGTTTTCTTTCTTTAAAAACTAATAAGTTTTGTCTTCACCCCTTTGGCCAAATTTAGGTTTTATGTTCACACCTAAACCATTCTTTGCATGTTGAACTTCACACTGGGAGCTTGTGGCTTGTATGTAGGTTCTCTCTCATGTCCATTTGTTTGAGCACTTGGTCCCTAGCAGGTGGCATTCTTTGGGTAGGTTGTGCAGCCTTTAGGACATGGGTCCTAACGCATGGACGTAGGGCTATGGGTAAACCTTGGGAGTTTAGGCCACCCCTCCCTCTGCTTCCTGTTCTGCCTAGGTGCAGCAAGCTATGCTGACAAGCTGAAGACCATTGCCACCGCAGATGAAATCCACCCCAGCCACTATACCCTCCCTGCCATGAGGGTCTGTGTCC